CTTACTAGGTAGCCAGATAATATAATCCGGGATATATCCAGAAATATATTCTTATTAGCTAGGTTATTCTAGGTATTAATATAATTACTTAGCTACTAGTAGCTATCTTTTTACTAAATATATAATATAATATCCGGTATAAGTAGTAATATTACAGAAAGTAACTAGCTTATATTAGAAAGATAGGTCGAGATTATTAATATAGTCTTAATAATTAGGGGCTATTCTTATTCTTTAATTACCTTATTATAATTTAATACTAGATAGTAACTTTTAATAGGCTATAATACTTTCTAGTATATAATACGGGAATTATTTCTAAGAAAAGTAATAAGATTTCAGAAAGTAGAGATATTTTCTAGGCTCTATAATAAAATAATAAGAAATAAAATATAAGTAAGGTAATTATATTTAGGGATTATATAGTGAATAATATATTTAAAGTAATTATAATACTACTTATTTTAGTTATTTATCTTATATTAAGTAATATATATCTGCTATTAAATTCTATAATAGTTTACTAACTCTTTATTAATAAGCTTTTGCTATTATTTATAGAAATAGTATTACTAAGCCATAAGCTCTTTATATATCTCTTTTATAATAATAGCTATAACCTAAATAGAGAGATCTTTAATTTATTCCGAAAGATTAATATAGTTCTAATATTATTTTAATTCTTCCTAATTCTTTATTAAAAATAAGTATTAGAAGTTTAGGTCTCTTTTTATAAAAATAAAGTAAAAATCTTCTATAAGATCTTATTATAGCTCGAAGTTAAGAAAGGCTACTATATTATTTATATTACTTATATTATTTAAGTAATAGCTAATAAGAGTCTTTGAATTTCTGTATTTAATAAACTTTATAACTTGCCCTAGTAAATAGCCGCTATCTTTACTATATTAGCTTATTATATTATTAATTTTATTTAAAGTAAGAACTCCTTACTATTTACCTTAATAAGTTCTTTATAGCAGGAAGTATAGAGCTCTATTTTATTAATAAAACTAGCCCTTTTTGCCTAGTCTAAATACTAGTAATCTTATATATTCTTGTTTTTGGGCTACTTAGTTAGTTTATTTATAGATATCTCCGGAAAGACTAGAGTATTTACTATTTCATTTATCTAATTCATAATTAGGAACTTTCTCTTTAGTTATAGTCTAGCTATAAAGATATCCTTAATAATATAATAGTATTTAAACCTGCTAGTCAAAATTATAATAGTAAATAAAAATAAGAGGCTATTAGTAAAAAGAGGAAGTATAGGCTTTAATTTCTTATATAATAGATATTTTGGCCTATTTATAAGCTATTAGTAATCTAACTAAGCTCTAGAATAATAGGACTCTCTTATTTACTTCTTTAAAATATTTTATATTTCTTTAATAAAATCTCTCTTAAAACCTATTTTAATCTCTAGCTCTTTATCTTTCTATATAACTATATAAATAAGGTCCTATTAAGAATAGTTAGTACTAAGATCTTATTTTCTTTTTTGGGTTTAGTATCTAACTTTATATTTTGTTTTATATATTTCCTATAACTTTATAGTAATACTATAATATATTTTTAATAGAGTATTCAAAAACATATAATATCTTTTATAAATATAATTATAGTAGTTATATAGCTAAAGTTATTTCTCTATATTAATATAGTTCTTTATTATTAAAAATATAAGTGCCTTTTCTTCTATTAATAGAAAGATTATAACTCTAAGCTTATTTTAAATATACTTTTTCCTCTAGTTAGTAAATATATTACTAATATCTTAGTATGGCCTAACTTATAGGTATATTTATAGGAGCTACTAAGTTATAAATATCTTAAGAAATAGGAAGATTAGTCTTTTATAACTATATTAATAGGAGCTTTTATATCTTGCCCCGTACTAATTTAATTATTACCCTTTTACCTAGCCTATTACGGGTTAAATAAGTAATAGCTTTAATAATATGCTTTATATCTTTTATTTTATATAGGTCTGAGTTCGGAAACTTCTTCTTATACCTAAGACGTATTAGCTTGCTTTCTAGACTTAATTCTATAATATTATTAATATATACTATTCAAAAATCCTATATTTTATTATACCGTTTTATACTAACTTCTTTAAGTCCTCTATAAATAGGGTTACTATTAATTCTAGACTTGTCTATAGAGAGTCTATCTCTCAGGGCTGCCTCTATTTACTTATCTGCGGTAAGTATGGTATATAGAGTCTTGTATGCCAGAGAGATAGGAGAAAAGATAGGAGAGAAGATGAGAGAGAAGATGAGAGAGAAAATGGGAGAGGAAGAGTGCGAAAACGAGAGGAGACAGCCATTTTTAGAATATAGAGCTAGTAGGTGAAATTTACAGGGGGACGAAAATAACCCCCTGAATTACTATCTCTGCGTCTGTCAGTAATATATTTGGGATCCCTGACCAGAGTACGAGGGCCATTTCGGGCCCCTCGTTAAAAGTTGATGATTTCTGGTGAGGTGGGTCTTGACTGCACCGTGTCGCGTAAATAGGGTGAGCAGACCTGAGCTGACCTGAGCTGACTGAGCTGGGCCTGAGCCGAGCCTGAGTAAAGGCGGCGCTGGTCACGTGAGACGGAAAGTTGGGAAGAGCAAACATTGCCGTCAGGAAACAAGCGGTCCCGGTCCCAGTCCCACGCCACAATAGGCCCACCAAGTCTCCCCAACCATTGCGGGGAAACGCCTCATGGAATGTTCGAAACGAACTACTCTGCCGTGTCGGGCAAAATAGGAAGGTGGCTTTGCTTTTGATCAGTTTTGACGGAGTTTGCCATGCGCGGGTCGAGGCGAGTGCGACGACGGGAGAATCACCCAATGGTTTCTGATCGTTGTTCTTGCACTTATTTTAATCATTTCTTAAATGAGATCTCGATCTCAAGATCGGCTGAGACGCATACGATCGTCGAAACGTGTTATTAGCAGGGAGGAACGCCAGAAGATCAATGCTACGGGGTAACGTTTAGAGACTTAGCAATACCGTATTATCTAGCACAGATGACCATGGTCTTATGACTCGTTGCTTCCACCTCGAGTTCGGTCGGACATAGTCTTGTATTAACGGGGGAGGGTCTTACAAACACCATACAAAAATGACGAAACATAAGGGTTTCCATAAAAGACAATTCGATGGGAGATGGCCCAATAATGGAATATGGTCCTATACTGGGGGTGATCGTATGTGACAGATAATATGGTGCTGTTGTCTCGGCTCTCGGCCTCGTCGAGACGAATAGCTCCATACAAAGGCTCAAATGCACCAGAAGCAATAATGCCTCAAGTGGTAAAGGCAGGCTCCTGCCTCATGCGCCAAGCCCTATATATCAGCCCGCGTATGCTTCATTTTCACTCATTTCGACTATGACCGCTTCGTACTTGACGTCCGAGTCACTTAGGGTATTTCTTCAAAGACCGGTCGGGACAATGCCTCAGCTCCTCCTAACCAATGCGGAGTGGGGTCTGGAATCCTCCAGCTGATATGCAACATTCATGAAAACATTGAAGGATACTACCATCTGCACAGCCTCCACCTTGAGCGGGTTCGACATGTACCTCAGTTGATTCATGCCGCTGCTGAAAAACATTTCAGAGAGTCCCTCGGAAGCCGAACCCGCTTTACAGCCACACCGGGGCATGCCCCAGGAAGAGAACGCCTTGAATCCTCCATTCTCATGGAATCCGAGAACTTCATAGCCGCAGTGCCAGGATTCCCGATGCTTCGATTTATTCCAAGTGTCCTTTGTCTGCTCGAATCAGGTTCTTATGTACTGTAACATGACAGAACATTCTAATCCGACGCACGACTTCATTTCAGTTGCTTAAAATAACCCTGCACTTCCTATTATCTGGTGTTATAAATCAAGGATCACGAGTGGAGAAATTTTCCCTCCCAGAATAGAAGTATCCAAGTAACCATTGAAATTTTGAATACATTGAGAAAGATCATCCAGAAACTGATAATTTACGGCTTCGTAAACGTAAAAGCTCAAAACAGTTTGAAAGAACTTCCTTTCTTCCGCTTGCCATTGCCCACGCACTATTTGGCTTCTGGTTTATCGCTGTAGGCTGTAGCCAGTTTTGTTGTTGAATGCAAAGAAACGCCCGACGAGCACAATGACCATTGAGTTTTTGATAGACTCAAAAGTAGTGTGCCTTTGCAGACCCCTATAGACCTCCCCCGTTCAGCTTGTGTTGCCATTCCCAAACCAGGATTGTCCGCCCAAAGTAGTAATTTTCGTATACGACTAGAGGTTAATTTTCTTTTATATACATGCTAGTACCCTTCCAGGATGCTCATATAATTGAGAATTTGATTCCTTCTAGCCCCCTTTCCACTCCTTTAAAAAGGCTAGTTTTTGTAATAAAATAAAAATCGTGAAATAGGGCTTTCTTTTTCGGCTACGTTTCAGCCCTGGGTATGCGCACATAAGACCGGCAAGAAGTATGTCCCTCCCTTGCCCTTGCAATCGCTCAAAAAGTATATCCTCACTTTTAATTATACACGTACGCGACGCCTGTACCTGCTCGTGCACGCGAATATAACTCCCTATAAGCAAGCTATGGTATATCGCTTAAAAATATTATCCTTACCTACTTGCGTGATGCAGGTGATGCAGGTGATACAGAGTAAGGAGTCACACCGAAGTCGCCTCCAAAGGCGCGTGACTAGGTAACCCTGGGCTATAAGGAAGCTATGGCACACGTGAAGGAAGCTCCCAATATCGGAAGAGAAAAGCTTTAGAGCTCCCAGTTCAAGCGCACTCTCTAGTTGCAAGTTTGAAAGAGATACATTCATACACGGTTAAATCAGTGACATTGCTTGTCTACAGGGCTAGATGTCAAACCAGCAACTGAACATATGTTTCCCCCCGGGGCCCCGACTTGACAGAACTTAGAGCCCGCCATACTTAAGAACGCCTCGTCTCCGTGTGACAACTCCGTAGCTGCTAAAGTGTTAGAATAATAGAAAATCCAGACACTATGAAGCACGCTCACGATAACGAAGTGATTTCCTTACCCGAAATCAAAGGCATGTACCATCTGAGAAACATCTCTTGCAGCAATCAGCATCACTGGAACACCCTGCACCAGGCTCTAGAACATTCGAGGTTAGATTATTCAATGCTTTGCTACTTGGTGGGTGATACTACCTCCACAAGCTTGAGCGCCACTAACACCGAGAAGGGCCAGCACCAAGAGGCTTGCCAAAACGTTTTCGAATCCTTGGAGCTTCATTTCGTGGAGCTAAGGATAAAATAAGAGTTAATGAGAGCTAGATAAGACTGGAGGAGTAATTGAGAAGATTATATAAGATGCTCCAGATCTGAGAAGTTGAACTGATATGAACCTGGTAGAAGGCGAGATGCGACAAGTATTTATATTCTCTAAAATGTGTGGGCGGAGCGGAGGCGGAAGTTCCGGCGTATTCAAGGATTAGCTAAAAATAAGGTTCTCGTATTGAAGTGCATAGTTGTGCAGTATTCCCTAGGTGTTTTAAACAGTATCCAGGGTTCAAATACTCTTCTTTTTCTCTTGGCGGAGCATAATTATACTACACGACTTGCGAAGGTTTAAAGCATGTTACTATATTATTAATAATTATGCAGAAGTTTGTACTTCTGAAACTTTTTTATTATTTTAACGTGAGCTCTTTCATTATACGCTAGAAAATAACCGTCAAAGCTCAAGTATTAGAGTTACTTGATCCTTTAAGTGGCGGAGCTATTATTTAAAGTAGTATTTAGTCGTGGTCTTATAAATACTAACAGTTGTATTATTATCAGACTTAAAAGCGAAGAGGAACCAAACAGTACTGATCTTTTAAGATATTCCCAATCATAAAGAATAGGATCGATACTGAAACCTTTAATAATGTAATGTGCAGCCTATCCCTTCGTCCGGTGAGACATAGTCCACGCTAGTAAGGGGGCCTGGCTCAGGGCGAAAAGGCGATGGATGACTAATAAGTTTTTAAGCAAAGGTACGACTTTACAGTCTGAGCCAGGCCCCCTTACTAGCGTGGACTATGTCTCACCGGACGAAGGGATAAGGTTCGCGCGGGAACCTCTACAGGGGCTGAAACACGAGACGTTAAGGTTTGTGTTACGAAGTGGGATATGCCCCAGTCACATAGCAAATAGGCTTCCGAACTTTCCGATAGAGTTTCTTATTAATGGATACAAAAGGAGTATGCCCCTGCCAATCCCTGTAACATCCCTATTTCGTTCGTATAGTATTCCTAAAATATGGATATATGCCCAAAATAGTAATAATAGGAGGCTAACTCTAATTAAGGATATATAAGTATTCTCTCTGGGTTTATCCTGGAAGGAATATTCTGTTTCACGTAGCTGTGTGAGACCTGTGGGTCACAAAGAATCACAACTGAGAGTTGATGTCAGCTTCACTAGTCACGATTGCCATTAGATACTGCCCGCCTACCGTCCCAACTTCCTCCTGGATTGTTTCTGCTCCGGAATGAGCAATTCTGGGTACTTTTCCAACAATACAAGACCCAAATTGCTCCCGGTGTGTATCTCGTCCCGTTTTGGCACATGATAAATAGGGTAGTTTACTAATGTTTTGACTCAATCATTCCAGTTCTGATCCAGGCTGGTGACAGACTGATCGAGGATCAAGTCTAGAGCGTCGTCGGGGAGCCTGGAGGCTTGGGCCGAGCGACATACCTGCATTCACCCTATTGTGAGCCTGGGGTCTATGTCTATTTGCCCGGTGCAGATCCTGCAGTCGTTGGAGAGAATGTAGTTGTTATTGCCGAAGCATTATCTGCTGATGAGAAGGCTAGCAGGCAGAATGACGGGACGGGACACGGGTAAACTAATTGATCCCGTTGTTGTTGCCATTGTTATTGCCATTGTTAACGTCGTTTCCTGAATTTCCTGACCCCACAACATTGGAAGAACTGTGGTTGTTCCCATTGTTGGATGGGGAGGCTCAGATGTCGTTGGGGACTGGGACAGCAGCAACTGCTGTGTCCAACGTGAAGACGGCGAGGAAAGTCTTGGAATGTATTTTTGCCGGTGTTCAATAGAATAGAAGATGTAGATGAGTTGGTAGAGGACTTAGAGGAATGTGTTTTATGAAAGACTTGAGATTGTAGATGATGTTCTGCAAACGTGGGCAAGAACGAGCTTCATACTGTATACTTCTCTGCGGGCGGAAATCCATAAGAATAATTGTTCGGCATGACGCTGTGCCAAGCGGATGCGACAAATGACATGTGTATGCCGGGGAGGATAGTGCCGCAGACAACGCATACTATAAAACTATTCACGGTAATGTCTGTACGGCAGAGGACTTCTGCTACAGGATTGAAGGAGAAAGGTAGATCTGTTGATGTTAACCGTGAACCATGAGGCTGATGGCAGAGTGGAGTTAAGAGATCTGCACAAGCTTCTCCAAGAAATGGACCCTGGGGCCATTAATGTAGGGTCGGACAGCAATATCACCAGCGCAATAAAAAAGCCACCCGCGTCAACCGGTTTAGGATATGACAGGAGGAGGGGGTTCGGAGAAGAGAGTAGGAAGAATTCAACGATTGCGCAAGAAGGAAGTTTATAAAGATGCTTAATTCCCGAGATGCAGCAATCTATGCCTTGCCCGAGTCATGCAAAGGCGATCGTACTAGTGCTGATGACGGCGGGTGGCTTCTGCTGGGCCTTCTTCCATCTTACTGGTGGCATCATCAGAGTTTGCGCGACGAAGATACGTCCGGATTCTTCTCCCTTGGGTGATAAACATGCTTGTACAAGAGCAGTTGAATAAAGTTCTCCAACACGTGCTCTGAACACCGAGCCGTGTGTGTGGCCAGTCGTGAAAATGAGCTGTGGAGAATAATCTCGGCCAGCCTTGGGATGCAGCAATTATTGCGATCCTCGCACTCACCGACTAACCCTCCTGTTTCAAATGCACAATGTACTGTTTATCTATCTGAGCCCTCTCAAATAAGAATGCGAAATTGCTGCGAACTATCGCAGAATGATTAGTCAGTGTAGGCACGAGGCTCTGAATCCCAGCATCTCAGGAAGTCGAGACTTGGGCCAAAACAACTGTGACATAACAGCCTCCGGATATATGTTTACGGATGCGACGATGTCCCAACTTTGTGCGGAGAAAGTACCACCCGAATGTTGAGGAGATATTGGGAGTAAGGAATCCGAGAGGTGGGTCCATCGGTCGCTCCCCGAGGTCGAATGCAACTCTGTAGAATCACATTATTATGTTTGGCAGTACCAATACTATGGCACAGATAGATTCTGGAACCCAATGGCATAGTACGGTGGGATGGCCAGAAAAGAGAAAGATGAGGTTATTCGGGTGACGTTGTAGGCGAACTCGCCTAGAAACAGCCGAAGCACGCGCAGCTCAAGTGCCAACCTTAAAGCAACGCTGATCTTCAGCGCTGAAGACAATTTCGGCACTTCAACCCCCACTATTGGAAGCTCGACGCAGTCTGGTCTAGCCTGCCAGCAGCGATAGCAGATCGAGGACCCCAGCCGTATGAAGAAGTGAAATGCAAGGCGGCTCAGTGGAGCCCACTTGGCCCAGCTAGAGCGACCCCAGTCCCATACAGATGGAAGCCGAAACTCCACGTCCGGCAATATGCTACCCAACCTTAGGTTCTGTTCCTGTATTCCTGACCACCCCAGCTGAGGCCATCAGTTCTCTCCATAATTTCGTGCACGGAGAGCTCCATGCTGTTGATCTCATACACCAAGAGCTTTTTTTTGTTGGCTCCGTCAAGGATGTGTCGCCAATTGTCTCAAAAGTTATCTTTAGACGCATCGGCTTTCAGCCCTAGCTCCGATCACCCCACACGTGTTGTTCAGGTGGGGAATTCCATAACCTTATTTCAGGCTTCGCGGAAATGCAGATTGACCTATCAGAGACTTATGCTTTCAATGTAGTGGGACGAAAGATCTACAGGCGTATTTCCGTGCCACAAAACCATGCTCTGTTGCAAGATCATCAGCTAAATGCGAAAGTGTTTGACAAAGATGTTTCTCGAGCTTCACTGGTGCATAAATCAACTAGTTATGATATCATTGTATTGATGGATTTCGTACTATTTTCTTCGGGGGGAAAGGATTGCACCCAGCCAAGTGACCCAACACATGTCTAAACCTCATGGGTGTCATGCTTTCCGTCCTTCTCATTCCCGATGTACGCATCTCGACCTCGATCGTCATAATTCCCGCGTTTGCCAATATCGTTCAGCTTGTGAACCCCTTTCAACCAAGATATAAGAATTCTCTAGACTCCTCCGAAGAATAGACTTCAACTCCACACCACCAACGACAACCATCTCCTGGTCTCTTCTCATCCCTCATCCTCGTTTCTCATTTCTCCCACGGTGAAGACCTCTCTTTTGTCTCATTTTGGCCCTCACAGCAACAGAAGTTGCTGCTTTCCCCAAACTCGCCGAAGTCTGAAGAGCATCGCCGACGTCTTGCTCAACCCCAGTGCGGCAAGCACAGCACCTCTGCTCAAAGTTCACAAGAAACGAGCTACCTGGGACATGAAATCTCAGTATGTCAGCACGTCAGGTGCTCATGCCTTCGTGCCACCCAAGGGCCGTGCTGGTGACGTTTGTGGCCCTTGCGCAGGTCTGAACGCTGCTGCGAACCGCGACTATATTCCCCATAATGGTGTCGGCACTATTGGCGACTTTATCAACAATACCAACGAAGCCTACGGCATGGCATTGGATCTCGGCGGTTTCGTCGGTATTATGGAGCTGTATTCGATGTCAATTTGCTCGGTTACTCCATTGATGGACCGACTTCGAACAATCAGTTCCCCCTTAACAACCTACCGGGGCCTTACTAGTGCGCCACAAGGACTGTCTTGGTCTCACAACCACCGAGTCCGGGAAGTCCAAATACACGCCTGGCCATGAATGTATCCCGGATAACTGGTATAAGCGCGACATCGGCGACGAGTACACGATCCCGGGTTTCTTCGTTGATACGCTTGATTTCGGCGAGAAGTATCCTCCCCTTCTCGGCATCACTGGAAACGCTGGCAAAACTGACTCTCTCACTATCGTTGACCTTGGGTCTTTGACGAAGGGTGTCTCCAATGCTGGGGACTTGTTGAAGGGCAACAACTTGGAGTGTTACTTGCTTCAGGTTTCTCAGGCTGCTCCTCCTGACATCGCGGGCGCGGAGAGCGATGCTGGGAATATGTTGAGCTCGCTTACCACTACTGTTGCGGAGAGACTTGCAGGTCTTGCGTACCCAACAGCTAGATAGTATTGATCAAAATCGGTACAATATCGTGACTGGGTACAACAAGTGTCCTCACGGATACTCTGGCTACTAGGTGCTCACTGGCTGAGCGATTGAGACGAGAAGAACTGGTGGAGAGGCCGGTTTGAGGCTCTGTAATGACTAATACCTGCTTCCTCTCTCTCGTATGTATTCTTAGATGGATCTGTGTTAGGAAAGGCGGGGATTGTTCTGCTATTTTAGAAAGAAGCCGTCAATGTATCTCTTATGTTTGATGTTAATGAATAAAACTGCACAACACTACGGGTTCTTCGTTCGCGCAAACGTGATTTTCTCTCGGCATTACCTTGAATAGAATTATATATCGAATCTTAAAATGGAAATTTAATTTCATTGTTGTGAGACGTTATGGAGAGTAATGTCTAGACAGTGCATCACTTGCGATTTGAAATTCCATGGCACCTACTTTCCCTTCCTCGGCGACGAACTTTCTTAAATTTTCTGGAGAAATCTTCCGAGCACATTCCAAAACTCCAATTCAATCCATCTTCAACCAACACTCACGTTCTACGAGCAATATTTTATTACTCAATGTTTTTCATCACGTGATATCATTACTTTCAGCCTTCTCGGCCAAAAATTCCAGCCTTGTCCGCAATCTTCAACTCCCCCCATCACCTCTCCACAACCACCCAAATACCAGCACAATGAACCTCTCCCTAACCGACCCCTTTGTCCTCGCCCAAGACTACCCCGAATCTACCACCGGCTCCTTACGCAGTGGCCACGCGACCTGCGTGCGCTTCAACCGCAAAGGCGACTTCCTGGCCGCGGGGCGCGTCGACGGCACCGTCGTGATCTTTGACGTGGAGACCAACGGCGTGGCGCGAAAACTTAAGGGACACACTAGGCAAGTGCAGAGTCTGAGTTGGAGTAGGGATGGCAGGTATCTTTTGACGAGTAGCCAGGATTGGAAGTGTAATATTTGGGATTTGAGTACGGGGAGCATTGTGAGGAGTGTACGGTTTGAGGCACCGGTTTATATTGCAGAGTTGCATCCTTGGAATCAGTGAGTTCTCTTCCTCCCAATTTGTGGGTTTCTGGGAGAAAAGATTGAGGGAGAAGGACTAATGAGTTGGGGATAGTTTGATATTCGTAGTCAGTCTTTTTGAGGACCAGCCATTGCTCGTTGACGCCTCTGGACCCAAGGTCATCAAGTCGAATCTCCCCTCTGCGCCCAAACGAAATCAATACGATGAAGACGAACCGATTTCTGATAAACAGGCTGCGCAGGATGCGAAGCAGACCACAACCGTATCAGTCTTTACGGCGAGCGGTGAACACATATTGGCTGGCACGAACAAGGGGTGGTTGAACATCATCGAGGTCTCTACGAGGACAACCATCTATTCTACGAAGATCTGCACGGGCGTTGTGATATACCTACGCTTGACAGGTTCGGGGAGAGATGTGGTAGTCAATGCTCAAGATCGGATTATCCGCACCATACAACTCCCAAACCTCTCAGCTGCGGATCTTGATCCAGATACGATAGATATAGAAGTCGAGCATAAGTTCCAGGATGTGGTGAACAAGCTGAGCTGGAACCATGTTGCGTTCTCTTCTACAGGGGAGTATGTCACGGCGAGCACGTACAATAACCACGATATCTACATCTGGGAACGAAATCACGGTTCTTTGGTCAAGATCCTCGAAGGACCGAAGGAGGAACATGGAGTCGTGGAATGGCATCCTCACCGCCCTCTCATTGCTGCCTGCGGATTGGAAAGCGGCCGCATACACATCTGGTCCATCATGCCCTCGCAACGCTGGTCAGCACTCGCGCCCGATTTCGTCGAAGTAGAAGAGAATGTCGAGTACATCGAGTACGAAGACGAATTCGATATCCACCCGCAAGAGGAAATCCATAAACGAAGACTAGATCTGGAGGATGAAGAGGTGGATGTGTTGACTGTAGAGCCCGTCAAGGGTGAGATTGTTGATGAGGAGGGGATCAGTGCGTTCAGGATGCCGGTACAATTGGATTTGATTGATAGTGAGAGTGAGGAGGAGTTTGTTGCTGTGGGGAGGGGCGAGATGCGGAGGAAAAGTCCGAGTGGGCAGGGGGTGGATTATGGGCTGGGGGAGGAGGGGGTGGGTGGGAGTGATGCGGAGGGGAAGAAGAAGGTTAAGAGTCGGAGGCGGTGATCTCTTCTTTCTCCCCAATTCTCTGCGCTCCCTTGAATCTTTTTGCATTGCATGGAGTTGGGTGTTCATCAGCAGGACTTGGCGTTCTACCAAAACAAGGGGTTCAGTGAAATAGAGGCTGATGTACCTCCTGGTGCCCCCAATGCTCAAAATGGAAACTGGTACCGCTTTCTCCATTCAGAACATGTACCCGTATAACTATTGATTACCAGGCGGTCAAAGCATGTGGTGATTTCTCATCACGACCTTGTTCCCCATTGGCGCATCCTGCGGGCTGCTTACTCAACCCCTCCAATGGAATCCTGCACTCTCATCAACCAGCCGCCTACATCAACTCCATCGTTTTCGAGGGTCGTCCATAGGTATGCGACGTTCCGTTTCTCGTTTGCTTCTCTTGTCTTTTCATTTCCAGCCTCGTCGTGCGGTTGCGGAATTCTCACATGCAAACATAAGATTAACATCCAGGACAGTGAGACAAAGAGGCTTAAACACGATGGCGCCGATCTCAACAGAGCCAGAGGAGTTTGAGTATATTGTTATTGGAGGCGGAAGTGGTGGTTCGGGGACCGTAAGTCTACTTCTTTTCTCCTCGGATTTATCTTCTCCCAGCCCCTGTGGGAGAGCAGCCCTCTTGAGATTGGGGTCAGTGCTGATATGTGAGAGAGGTAGGCAAGAAGAGCGGCTGGTTGGTATGGCAAGAAGACGTTGCTGATTGAGAATGGTATTAGTGGGGGGTGTTGCGTTAATGTTGGGTGGGTTTGCTTTCTTGTTTCTGAAGAGGCGGAGCGGAAGTGCGTCAGGGGTGCAGAGAGCTTGACCAAGTGACCGATCTTTCACACGTGCCCCATGACTTGGGGGAAATTGGTTTCTGCTTGAAAAATCTTTCTTGTGCGCGGGAAACTTTTGGGGGGGGGGGGGGGCGGAGGGTTAAACTTCGCATCGCTTGCTTGGGTATTGGAGTGGGTTTCGTCTGGACTGAATTGGTTCCTGATCTCCACTTGTCTCTTCCCAAGCATTGTCTTCGATTCTCTCAATCGTTCGTCGTCGCTTCAGTTTTCATCATCTAACATCCCCAAGCTGCGTCCCCAAGAAAATAACGTGGAACTTCGCCTCCATGGCCGAAGCCCTGCGCGACTCAACACACTATGGCTTCGCCACTCCGGCCAACATCCCCTTCGATTTTGCCTCCTTCAAAGCCAAGCGCGACGCTAATATCCTCTCTTTAAATCGAGCCTATGAATCCAACTGGTCGCGAGAAGGAATCACGCTCGTGCATGGAACCGCCCAATTCGTCTCCCCAAAAACCCTTTCCGTCTCCCTCGAAGATGGGAGTGGGGAGAAGACGTTTAAAGCGGAACATATTTGTATTGCTACGGGCGGATACCCGATTGTTCCTGGGATTGAAGGGGCGGAGTTGGGGATCACGAATGAGGGCTTCTTTGCACTGGAGAAACTGCCGAAGAAGATTGCGATTGTGGGAGCGGGGTATATTGCTGTTGAGATGGCGGGGATGCTGAATGCTATCGGCGTTGAAGTTCATATGTTTATCCGAGGAGACAAGTTTCTAAGGTCTTTCGACCCGACGATTTCCGAGACGATGACTGCGAGGTATGAGAGTGTCGGGGTTAAGATTCATAGAGGGTATAAGGAGTTTGAGAGGGTTGAGAAGGTTAGTGTGGAGGGAGGGGAGAAGGTGTTGAGGTTGGTAATGAACGGTGGGGAAAGCATGGAGGTTAATGAGTTGCTTTGGGCTGTGGGACGGAGTCCTGAGATTGCGAGTTTGGAGCTTGAGATGGTAGGGGTCAAGACAGATGGGAAGGGGTATGTGGTTGTAGACAAGTTTCAGAATACCAGTGTGGAGGGCATTTATGCTTTGGGGGATGTGACGGGACAGTTGGAGTTGACTCCTGGTGAGCAATATCCCTCAATCTCCCGGATATCCTTGCTGATAATGAACAGTTGCAATAGCAGCAGGCCGTCACCTCTCTAACCGCCTCTTCGGCCCCCCACACCTCTCACACTCCTACCTCCCCTACGAAAATATCCCAACCGTCGTCTTCGCCCATCCAGAAGTCGGAACCATTGGACTCACCGAACCCCAGGCCATCTCCAAATTCGGCACCTCCAACATCAAAGTCTATCATACAAAATTCACGAACATGTTTTATGTTCCGTTTCCAGAAGAGGAGAAGAAGAGGAACCCGACGGAGTTTAAGATTGTGTGTGAGGGGACGGAGGAGAGGGTCGTGGGTCTGCATTTGATTGGACTGGGTGTGGGTGAGATGTTGCAGGGTTTTGCGGTTGCAATTAAGATGGGGGCGACGAAGAATGATTTCGATGCTACTGTGGCGATTCATCCGACGAGTGCGGAAGAGGTTGTGACGATGAGGTAGGATGGAGATGCTGCCTGTGAGGATGTGTGGGCGATGGACGAATAATGAGTGCACCCTAAGAAATATTGTCTGGACGTATAAAAAGCCCAAGAGTCACAGAAGTTTCTGGCTGACGTTTAATAAATGAAAGATATGAATACCACTACTTATGCTTCCCTCAACTTCACCCGCATAGGAAGAAAATCCTTCGGCTTGCCAGACAGCGGTTTCATAACATACGCCTCATCACCCCACCCATCCACCTTCACCGCATCCTTTGCATACACAGTCTCGAAATCAAAGTACCTCAGCGTCAAAACAAGCACAATTTTCATCTCTAATAGAGCCAGTTGCTGGCCGATACAATCTCTGGGCCCTTTCTCGAATGGCATATATGCCGACTTCGAATCTGGGTGGAAATCTGGTCGTAGGAAGCGATCTGGATCGAAGGTGTTCGGGGAGGAGAAATAGCGAGGATCGCGCTGGATGGCACCCCCCGAGAATGAGGAGCATGTGGTGGTCGATGGGGTAGGTACGGCCTTCGAAAGTGGCGGTGCTGCCGGGGACTGCTTTTCGGGGAATGGCGCCGATGTGGTGGAGGCGGAGGCTTTCTTTGAGGATGGCCTGGGTGAAAGGAAGGTCGTTTAGGAGGTGGGGTTTAGCTTTGATATTGGAGAGTGTTGTCTCGATGTGGTTGCCAGATACCTGGTTGTGCTCTGCGCGAACGCGTGAGAGGATTTTGGGGTTTTTGGTGAGGTGGTAGTAAATGTACTGTGGATGGTTGTAAGTGATATTGGGGTAGGTGAAAAGAAAGAAGAGGTTCTCACTCCGAGGACGTAGGGTGTTGAGTCAGCCCCTGCAGCGTAGAAAGTCTTTGCGCTGCGAATTAGACCAGAATCAGCAGGGTGAAGCACTAGATTCAGGAAACGGAAGACTCTTACTTATCAAGAGCGATTTCCATGAACTCGGGATCCAAATCGACTCTTGCCATGTTGCCGTCATCAAGCGTTCCTTTATCTCGTGAATATCCCCTCAATGCCAAGTCTAAAATACTCATATCCCTATCATTCTCCCGCCCATTTTTGTACTTGTCCCTGATCATCTTTAACAGATGTTTATCTAGATTTCTTATGCTCCAATAGAATATAATAGTCTTCGCAAGCCGCTTCCAAATCGAATTGCCTTTATCGGGGACCGCACGAATGGCATTGCTGTGCCAAACCTGAACAGCAGAGTATTCCGTCTGAGACCTGGTCCTGACATCGGCTACTGTCCGTCCAATAAGGTCAAATGTGAGGCGCTGCAGGAGATCAAACATGCGGAATTTCCGCTTGGAAGCTGAGAGCTCGGTAAGAATTTCCTTGAACACCAATGTCTCCTCGAGTATGCCCCCTGGTACCAAGGTTAAGAGATGGGACATCGAGAAAGCTGGTTTGAACCAGCCTCGAGTCCGAGACCAGGTCTCTCCAAGTGCGAAGAAGATCCCCTTGGCGCCGAGCACATCTTTTAAAAACCGGAGAGCCTCTGGATGTCGAGTGAACGTTTTGGGCGATGTTTGGATTTGCTTTGCTACGTCGGGGTCGATGATGACCACTATTAGTTCTGCGATGGGGTATGTGTCTAAGTAGAACAGGCCCCGCATGTTGTAGGTTTGCGCGATGGAAGTGAAATATGCTAGAGGATGCATGTCTGGAGGGAATTTCTTCCTCGCCTCTAGCAGTTGGGGTATATTTCCATAAAGTAGGCTATGGGGTGGCGTAGGCTGTAGGAATTGGTAAATAGATAGCTTTAAAGAAGGGCGATTGGTTCTTTCAAACTTACAAGGTTGTGATAGGAACGTCGATGCTGGATGAATTTCAGTATCCAAAAGGACGAATAAGCTACGACGGCGGTAAGTAGCAGCCATGACCAATTAACTGGCAGGTATGGTGACAACATTTCCTTCGTAAGCATCTTGTAGTTGTAGAGGTATAGGTATTGAGGATGGCTCTTGTCAAAGGTTCGAAAGCGGACGCAGCTTATTAAATGTAAAAGCTGACTGTGTTTGTGTCGCATTTAAGCCTGCCCCTGTCCCATAGTAGCTTCCAATAGCCGAATGCATCGACTCGCTTTCGCTTATCGAAAATCGATTCAGTTCGCATTCGTCTCCCACACCAATAGAAAGTTGAGATTCTCATCGGAAGAATCTAGAGCATTTCACGGCAGACAAGAAAAAAAGGCTACTGTGGTTTCAATGTCAAGTCTAAAGCTAGGCTAGAGCTTTATCCCAGTGAGAGGGTAGCAAAGTTCAAAAGATTTGAGGCTAATAAGGAATTTGACTTGACTTTTAATGTCATCTTAACATAACTCAAGGGTGCATTTGGAGATGAAGTATCGAAATTTCCATCTGGACCCGGGACAATGCAACGAGTACCGCTTTTTATGTCCACGTTGGGGTAGGTATTATTTACATGATTATGAGACTTTAGATAGCTCGAGAGCAGATAACAAATAAATAATAGAGATTCTGCACACGTCAATCTTTACAATGTTCAATGTTGTGACAGGAAATAGGCTTGGACTCAAGCCGATACATCCTAGCACCACCCAAACAGGTATTTTCGAATCCAAAGTCTTTGGACAAAATATGCAGAGGGACAAAAAACGAGAAATATCCTCAGAAATTTCAGCCCGATGGAGATCAGATTGCACCTAGTCAATGTCGACTGGCGCCCCATGTGAATTCAGTACATCGGTCTCCGTATATCTTGACTGACTTTACGATATTGAAATAGTCCAAGATACCAATTTGCCGTGGCAGAGGGCCTCATCAACCTCCAAAGGGAAGAGCAGACAGATCAGACTCGTGACGTTCTGTCATGTGACCTTAAGAACCCTTCTCCCTTTCTCTGAATGTATTCACACGTGTTCTTGTAGATCTTGTCCGCCTTGTCTCAAATTTCATCATCAACTATTTCGATAACCTACCACAGAGAGCCTTGAACGTTCTTGAAAGGGATGGGAGAGCAAATGAACCATACCTTACCTTAAGGTGGGTACACTCCTGATGCTACGTCATGTGACTTTGAGAATCCTCCCCCCTTTTCCTGCAGGCCAGCTGGGCTGCCTGCCTATCGAGAAGCCTCAGCGAATCGTTGTGCATATGTTCCACCCCTATTCACCGTATGAGTCAAATGTCAGATTTTCCCAAACGCACGCCACTGACAAACTAAGCCCAAATTACGCGAGCGAATCAGGGCAGCCTTAAGCTAGTCCACTTCCGGCTAGCCATTATTCTCAGCCGCAAGCGCAGTTGAAGAAAGAACTTCGGAGTCGCCTTGAGCCCAAACAATCATCCATCAACACCATCACCCCCAACTCGCCGGAATCGCGCGTCAGACATCGTGCATTCCTCTCTGAAGTTCTTTCCCACGAGAAAGAAAGTCACTACACTCTTTACGCCGTCCCCGTCGCATCGCTGGAGATCTCGCGGTCAGAGAACTGAAGGTTTGCCATCGGGCCTTCGCCCTGGGCTGCCATCAGCGCCATCGCGACAACTACGCTCTTTTGCATCCCGCGCATCGAGTCGCTCTGCCTGTCCCATCGAGCTTCGAGTCCTTTAGCCCTCTGCGACTCCCTTGAGACCACCGCGCGCGTCGTGTCGTCTCCCCATAATCCCTCGCCCCCCGCGCCCGAGTTCACCTTAGGACTCATCAACCGTCATCATGGCGAACCTCAACTTCGCGCACAGCGATGCGCCGCTGCGTACAATCCAAGAGATCCAGTTCGGGCTTCTATCGCCGGAGGAGATCAAGAACATGAGTGTTGCTCACATCCTATATCCTGAGACGATGGACGAGAGCAAGCTGAAGCCTCGGGATGGAGGATTGAACGACCCGCGCCTGGGCTCCATCGATCGGCAGTTCAAGTGTGCTACCTGCGATCAGAATATGTCTGAGTGTCCTGGTCACTTCGGCCACATCGAGTTGGCGAAGCCTGTCTTTCACCCCGGCTTTCTTAAGAAGACTAAGAAGCTGCTGGAGATCGTCTGTCACAACTGTGGCAGAGTCAAGCTAGACAGGGTCAGTTCTCCCACGTAGTGTGGGTAGCGTACTTGTTCCTTTGTGCTAACATCACAATCTCAGAGTAATCCAGCGTACAAGGCAGCCGTTTCGATTCGAGACCCGAAGCGTAGGTTCGATACGATCTGGCGACTTTGCAAGCCCAAGATGATCTGTGATAGCGATGTGGCTGCGAATGACGATGGTTTCAATGAGGATCCGAAGGAGGCCGCAAAGCGCGCGCATGGTGGATGTGGCAATACTCAACCCGAAGTGCGCCAGCAGGCTTTGCAGCTCTGGGGTACATGGAAGGTTCCAAAGGATGAAGACAATGATGGCGCAACGGCCGAGAAGAAACAAATCACTGCAGAGATGGCTTTGAATGTCTTTCGAAGCATTTCAACGTCTGAAATTGGGGACCTCGGCCTGAGCACCGATTATGCGCGACCCGAGTGGATGATCATCACTGTTCTTCCAGTTCCTCCTCCACCTGTTCGGCCGAGTATTTCGATGGATGGTACGGGTCAAGGCATGCGAGGAGAGGATGATTTGACGTACAAGCTTGGTGATATCATTCGTGCAAATGGCAACGTTCGACAAGCTCAACAGGAAGGCTCCCCCGCGCATATTTTGGCGGATTTCGAGAATCTGCTGCAATACCACGTTGCTACTTACATGGACAACGATATCGCTGGTCAGCCTCAAGCTTTGCAGAAGTCTGGCAGACCTGTCAAGTCCATTCGCGCTCGTCTAAAGGGCAAGGAGGGTCGTCTTCGTGGTAACTTGATGGGAAAGCGTGTCGACTTTTCGGCACGTACGGTCATTACTGGTGATCCCAACTTGTCTCTGGATGAAGTTGGAGTTCCCCGCAGTATTGCACGAACTCTCACCTACCCCGAAACTGTCACCCCGTACAACATCGGAAAGCTGCATCAACTTGTCCAGAACGGGCCAAATGAGCATCCCGGTGCCAAGTACGTCATTCGATCCGATGGCACTCGAATTGATTTGCGACATCACAAGCGTGCAGGTGCTATCTCTCTGGAATATGGATGGAAGGTCGAGAGACACATTGTTGATGGAGACTTTATCATCTTCAATCGTCAACCTTCCTTGCACAAGGAGTCCATGATGGGTCACAGAGTGAAAGTCATGCCATACTCGACCTTCCGACTGAACCTGTCTGTTACTTCTCCATACAACGCCGATTTCGACGGCGATGAGATGAACTTGCACGTTCCCCAGACCGAGGAGACTCGAGCTGAGGTTATGCAGCTTTGCATGGTTCCATTGAACATCGTTTCGCCCCAACGAAACGGTCCACTTATGGGCATTGTTCAAGATACTCTCGCTGGTGTTTACAAGCTTTGCCGCCGAGATACATTCATTACGAAGGATCTTCTCATGAACATTCTGCTGTGGGTCCCTGACTGGGATGGCATTATTCCGCAACCAGCCATCTTGAAGCCACGTCCCAGATGGACCGGCAAGCAAGTTATCAGCATGATCATTCCGAAGATCGTCAACCTCCATATGGCCAATGACAACCGAGAAGACGCGCCTCTGAATGATGACGGTCTTCTTATTGATCAGGGCGAGCTTATGTTTGGCCTCCTGGCAAAGAAGAACGTTGGAGCTACTGGGGGTGGTATCGTTCACATCGTCTTCAATGAGCAGGGTCCAGCTGCTGCTATGGCATTCTTCAATGGCTGTCAACGCGTTGTCAACTACTGGCTTCTGCACAATGGCTTCAGTATTGGTATTGGTGATACGATACCAGACAAGGGGACGATTGCGAAGATTGAGGAGGCTATCAATCTTCAGAAGCAGGAGGTCGCTGATCTTACACAGAAAGCAACCGCTAACACGCTTGAGTCGCTTCCGGGTATGAATGTCCGTGAGACTTTCGAATCTCTAGTCTCCAAGGCTTTGAACACCGCCCGTGACAAGGCGGGTACCAGAACTGAGGCCAGCTTGAAGGATCTCAACAACGCTGTCACCATGGCGCGATCTGGATCCAAGGGTTCCACGATTAATATTTCCCAAATGACTGCGTTGGTCGGTCAACAGTCAGTCGAAGGAAAGCGTATTCCTTTCGGCTTTAAGTACCGAACCCTGCCTCATTTCACCAAGGATGATTACTCTCCCGAGTCTCGTGGATTCGTTGAGAACTCATATCTTCGGGGTCTCACGCCCACCGAGTTCTTCTTCCACGCCATGGCTGGCCGTGAAGGTCTTATCGATACTGCTGTCAAGACTGCCGAGACAGGCTACATTCAACGTCGTCTTGTCAAGGCACTCGAAGATGTAATGGCAAAGTACGATGGTACAGTCCGTAACTCACTTGGAGACATTGTTCAATTCGTCTATGGTGAAGATGGACTTGATGGTGTCTTCATCGAGAAGCAGAAGGTAGATTCCATCAACCTGAGCGACGCCAAGTTCGAGGATCGTTACCGCCTGGACGTTATGGACGAGAAGAACCCCATATCTTCTGATCTTCTGGAACACGCAAACGAGCTTGCTGGCGATCTCGGAGTGCAACAGCTCTTGGATGAGGAGTGGGAGCAGCTCAAGGCTGATCGCGTAATGCTCCGCGATGTCAATGTCAAAAAGAAGGACGATGAGATGATGCAGCTTCCTTTGAACGTTGTCCGAATCATCGATACTGCGAAGAGACTTTTCCACGTTGATGATGCACAGCGAAGCGATCTTCATCCAGCCGAAGTCATCCCTCAGGTTAAAGCACTTCTTGAGCGAATGGTCATCGTCCGAGGAGATGATTCATTGTCTGTAGAGGCACAGTATAACGCTACCCTGCTGATCAAGGCACAATTACGATCTCGCCTTGCCTACAAGCGTGTCGCCCTTGGTATGCGTCTTAATAAGCTTGCCTTTGCCCACGTTCTTGGAGAGCTTGAGAGTCGTTTCACTAGAGCACTGGTCAACCCCGGTGAGATGGTTGGTGTTCTCGCTGCGCAGTCTATTGGAGAACCAGCTACCCAAATGACCCTGAACACCTTCCATTTTGCTGGTGTGTCGTCTAAGAACGTCACTTTGGGTGTTCCTCGTCTCAAGGAAATTCTGAATGTCGCTACGAATATCAAGACACCCTCTATGGTCGTGTACCAAGAGTCTGAGAATGCGACCCAGGAGACTGCAAAGTTGTTGCGTAGTGAGGTTGAACACACCAATTTGCGCTCCGTCACTCATGCTACCGAAATCTATCACGATCCTGACATCATGGAAACAAGTATCGCGGACGATGTGGATATGGTCGAGTCTTACTTCATCATTCCAGAGGAATCGACTGAAATCGAGAACCAATCCAGATGGCTACTTCGGCTGATCCTCGATCGCCAGAAGATGTTGGATAAGGGACTGAAGGTTGAGGATGTTGCGAGTAAGATCAAGGAGAATTACCCTAAGGATTTGGCCGTTATCTTTAGTGATAACAATGCTGAGGAGCAAGTCATCCGTATTCGCATGATCAAGCAAAGCGATTCCAAGTACGATGATGATGAGATTGAGGAAGACATCATGCTCAAACGTCTCGAGGCTCATATCCTCGATACATTGACTCTTCGCGGTGTTCCTGGCATCGAGCGTGCTTTCTTGAACATGGAGAGCAAGCTTGTAACTCTTCCTGACGGGTCATTGCTCGCCAAGAAGGGTGATGATCGTTGCGACGAATGGTATCTCGATACAACTGGTACCGCTCTTGCCGCCGTCTTGACCGTCCCTGGTGTGGACACGACCCGCACTTATTCCAATCACTTCATCCAGGTCTTTGAGGTCTTTGGTATCGAGGCAACTCGTTCTGCACTGATGCGAGAGTTGACACAGGTGTTGGCGTTTGATGGTTCCTACGTCAATCATCGACATCTCGCCCTCCTGGTTGATGTCATGACTTCTCGTGGTCATTTGATGGCTATCACCCGTCACGGTATCAATCGTGCCGATACCGGTGCCCTGATGAGATGTTCTTTCGAAGAGACTGTTGAGATTCTTCTTGAGGCCGCCGCCGTGGGTGAACTTGATGATTGTCGCGGTATCTCTGAAAACGTCATGCTTGGTCAACTGGCACCTATGGGAACTGGCGAGCTCGATGTTCTTCTTGATCCGAAGATGCTCGAGACGGTCATCTCTGACAACAGCAGAATGGGTCTAATGCATGGTCTGTCTGTTAAGGGCGCTGATGGCGGCGCTGCTACGCCTTATGACTCTGCATCTCCTCTTGCTGATGGGTACATGGGTACTCCAGACCCTTATTCTGCATTCTCACCTATGCAAACCGGCGGCGGCGCCACTCCTGCTGGATTTGCAACTGTGTATGCCGACGGAGGATACAACAACAGCATGAGTCCCTACAGCGCTGCACGGAGCCCCGGTGGTGCTGGATACTCTCCTTCCTCACCTTTCAGCACAAGCCCAGTTTCTCCAGGATTCTCCCCAACATCTCCTGGCTACAGCCCAACTTCCCCGCTCATGGGTGGTGCCAGCCCTGGATATTCTGCATCTCCCAGATTCTCGCCTGTCAGCCCGGCTTTCACGCCGACCTCACCGGCTTATAGCCCGACGTCGCCGTCATTCGTGTCGCCCACGTCTCCATCATACTCTCCCACATCTCCCAACTACTCTCCGACATCTCCAAATCTGCATGTTTCGCCGTCCAGTCCTTCATACTCTCCAACGTCACCCAGCTACTCTCCAACCTCCCCCAACTATAGTCCATCTTCGCCTAATTTCGCTGGGACCAAGGTGTCTCCAGGCTCTGGACTATCCCCAACCAGTCCTGTCTACAGCCCAAGCAGTCCGAACTTCTCTCCGACGAGCCCTCAATACCAAGGAGCCGTCACGTCTCCGAAGTACTCTCCAACATCTCCTTCATACTCTCCTACTAGTCCTCAATTCTCACCAACGTAAGCCAGAACTCAACTGCTATCCAAAATCGAAAAGTAAGACTAACAAAAACCAGCTCCCCAAAGAACTGAGATTGACGACGAACCTCATTCCTCTTTGACTTGTACAACAATCGCGCGTGGCATCACATCGATCCTACCATCCTACCAAAAGCACTCGAAAAAGACGAGATTTACATACCGGCGTTTGGGTTTCTTTGCGTTCTGCATGCGCGTACAAAGATTTGCTTTTCAATCGCGATTTGATTTTTTTCCCCTCTCCAGCATTCTGAATGGGGTCGTTTTTTATATGGCGTTCGGGGAATGGCATCATTGTGTCAACAGAAAGGGAATGGAACAGAATGAGCGAATGGAAAATGGCAGGAAAGAGAAAGTTCGTGGAGGGGGAGCTTGTGTTTTTAGAATTGCAATTTGCTGCTTTCGAGATGGGTAGGCCCAACCAGATTGCTTGTATTAGGGCTGGGGGAAAAGAAAAGAATGGGTGAAGAAGCGGTATATGGCGGTATATGATGCATGAATGGAGATCCTTCGCGGGGTGATGGGGGACGAAGATTTGTTATGATAATTGGATCCGGATCCGGAACAGGTCGTAGATGCAGGAATTGAGATGCATTTATGAAAGCTTGTGTCAATTGTGAGAAGGGAGTGATTCATCACCCTACCGGCTGTCGAACGCTTGACGTTTCAAGAACCCAGATGAGATACACGTGGGGTTTCTCTCAATGGCAGTTATGTAACATGCAAGTGAAGCTGGTATCCTTCACCGTGCTCTGCTTGATTTACGTCCTCTTACTATTCACGATTAAGCAAGGGAAATAGTGACGCAACGCTTTTTATTGAGCCTATCAAGTCCATGCAGGCAGTAGTGTACAGCGATATCTGTCTCCGTCCACTGCCATTTAACTTTTGAGGCGCAACGCCTGAGCGAGTTGCTCGTTGATGTAATGTCAACGCAAAAGCACCGCGCACCCCAGTCCACAAATCAAATAGTCATGCAAGATCCCAAGCTACCACCACACTAAGAACCCCACGCGTGCCTTGATGGTGACCTCCTTGGTCTTGGAAGCAGTTGCGTCCTTGAAAACCGCGGCCGCCGCGTGCTCGTCCCGGCTAGGTACCTAACGTCTGCCCTGTGCAGCGTTCTTCATAGCCGCAGCCTTCATAGCATCCATGCATGACTGGCACGCTACATTGTTAATCCAAGTTGCTATGATGGTCTTGACACCGAAACATTGGTGGTAGGGATCGGTGCGCGCGAAGTGGCAGTAGCTGTGGAGTTTTTGGTGTCGTGGCCGCAAGTATATTGGAATTCTTCCCAGTCGCACATTTTTTTTGTTCTTGGGTTGTTGTGGGTTCGAGTAAGGCTTGGTTGTTCAAGTTTGGGATGTTGTTTGGTATCGGTAGAAGTAGTGGGAGGTTCGGTTGGTTGTCAGGAAGGATAGAAAGGGACTTTCTTGAGAAAGAGGGAGTATTTGTACTCGAGCGAGGAGTTCTCGAAGAGGATAGAATTTCAGGGGGGGAAGACGAATTGAATCACATTTACCTGGGTGTGAGCTCTCTACGTGGCGAAGAATTTGAATATTTGGTACAAGCAGAGACTATGCTGTTTTGGTAATGATTCAATGCTCTCTTGCGTGAGCGCAACAAGGCGGTAAGTCATGCCGCTTTGAATCCCCTATACATGAATATCTGGGCACTAAGATATTACTCACAATAGAGGTTATTTGTGAGCACAAAATGGGGTTTTAGTCTGTTATAAATGCTGTTCTGTGAATGTAGTTGCCCTTCAATTCCCGCCTCATGCTTGGAGATACTCAAGGCCAAATATCCCTCCGCAGCACCACAAATTCAAGACCACAGTCAAACCCTCGGTACGCCATTCCACCAAGTCCACCCAAGTGAATATCTCAACCTCTTGAGCCCAGAAATGACTTAAAGTGCCATGATTCATGATTCTTCGTCTCCCCTCCCCCTCTCTTGTTTGCGGGACCCTCGCCTACCAAATCACCTCGCAACCCTCGTTGATTTAGTCACTGAGTCGGCCGCTAGCCGATCGAGAGGGGGGATGATAATCAATTAATAGTATGCACGGAGTGTTAAGTACTTCAGTATAGAGATCCTTACAAGCCAGGGCCAGAGACACAGCACAAGCCATATCCAACGTTATCGATTAAAGAGACTACGAGGGATGAGAGGCTGTAAATCCAGACAATATACTGCATGGCTGGGTGGGAAATCAATGATATTCTTCCTTCGACCGTTGGCGAGGCCGTGAAAAGCTGAGCAACAAGTAGCGACGATCGCCGTACGAGGATGGGGTGCGTGACTTCGGATGTTGCCCTCTCCCCCTTTTAGGGAGATGCCAAGATTTCAGTTCCTTCCCGTCGTCCGGCATCTTGGTAGCTGCGAATCCTGTAACTGGCGCGGTGCAATTGGCGGATCCTCCAAGTGATTGTAAGCATCCAACAGCATAGTAAAAAAGTGCTGAATGCATTGTGATTAAGTTTTTTGTATTATATAGTGATGTAATAGTGTAAGAAGAAAGGATAGTATAGGACAACGAAAAGTACGCTGATTGCCATGCAGTATATAAACCGAGTAGTACCCACTCAGGCTCCAGACCAAACATCTTTCAAGAAGCAGGCACAATGGTGGGAAACATCTGAGTGCAACCACCGCGGTTGATATCCGATCCCAGGGTGTTCGACATCCACAACTCCCCGCCGCAAATCAACATTTGAGTCCTTCCGCCCGCGTTCACGGTAAGCTCGCCCGTTAACGAGTTGACGCAGGCCTTGATCAAGGAAATAGAGCCGCTATTGACGCCACTGGTAAGACTGTTTGACGGCAAGAGCATAGGCCAAACGCTGCCAGTCCCGGCAGTTTGGACATAGAAGTAGGACTTGTAAGGATACCCTACTAGAGCGGAATGAGCGAGAAATAGATTGCTGTTGCTATTGATGGCCCACGTGTATTTAGCTGCGGTAGAACTTGTGTAATATGGATACCACCAGCTGGTGCCTTGAATTCCAGTGAGTTGTCTGTTATATAGGTAGTATGGGCTGTTGAGATATTGTGTAGCCCTGGCTAGAAAGGGACCCGTGGTAGAGAGACAGGTGCCTGTCGATATTGCTGATGAAGAGATTGTGGTAGAGCCAGAGCTCGATGTCGTAGTTGAAGGTGCACTCGTGGTGGTTGGGGAAGAGAAGGATTGCGTACTTGATGAAATACTGCTTGATGTTGATGGGGAAGCGGTAGGGCTATTTGATATAGAAAAGGAACTGCTTGAAGAAGCCGACGTTGTTTGGGCCGCCGGGTTTGAGGCACTAGATACCACAGAACTGCTTACAGTTGAGGAGGTTGTCTGGGTGAGCGAAGTCGAAGTGGCTGCGGCTAAAGACGTGCTGAGTGATACCGAAGTTGTCGATATTATGAGAGCGGTCGCTCCGAACTCATACATCTGCAAATTCTCAGTAAGAAATTTAGGATTATGTCCGTTTACAAGGGAACTCACATCAAGGTGATTGCCTGCTCCACATTTCTCGGCGCTATTTCCAGGGCAAGAGAAGCTACACTTTGAACCATCGACAAGGATACTACCGCTGTTGATTGTATTTCCGCAATAGCACTAGAAGAAAATTGTTAGAAAGAACCTTATTTTTCTCAGCACCATCGGATAAATATACCTCTCTTCCATATTCAACACCGAACCAGGTGAATCCTGTGCAGGCAGTGGCACATGCTTCAACTGTCATTGAATCGTTGAAGTATGCCTTTCCAGTCAAAGCCCGTATTCTCGTAGCCTCTGTGTAGCATCCCTGGTAAGCATATATAATGTCGATTGTCTCTGGAACAGAAGTAGCTCCGAATTCGTACAGGTTGAGGCGCGAGTCTCCTCCACAACTCTCGGATTGGTTGCCCATGCACGAGTACTTGCAGTCAAGCTGCGATGTAGCAACACTTCCGGCGTTCAGTGCATTCCCGCAATAACATTCCCGCCGATATTCCAATCCAAACATTGTAAAACCAGCACACTCCGCAGCACACATCTCGATGGTCATATCGTCGTCCGCAAAAGCAGCGCTAGAAAGAGCGCGGCCGGTTGTGGCTTCTGTATAGCAACCAAGTGAACCATATGTCGAGGGAGCACTTGGTGCAGATGAAAGGGTACCACTTTTGGCGTAGGTTGTGAGATGACCACCAGATCCACAAGTTTCGGCGGCATTCCCAGGACAAGGGAATCTGCAATAGGCTTCTTCCACTTGGGCGCTTCCAGCATTGGGAGTACTACCACAGTAGCACTGAGAATTGTCAATCTATACTCAACATCCATACAAGTGATAGGCTGCTTACTTCGCGCCCGTACTCAGCACCGAACCACGCATAGCCAGAACAAGCAGCGGCGCACTTCTCGATCGTCATCCCATCATCGTAATAAGAAAGGTCGCTGAAGGCTCGCGTACTTGTGGCCTCAGAGTAACATCCCGCATAATCGTAACCAGCAATGGCAACGGTGACTCTCGCTTGTAACAAGTGTAAAGGAGTGGCAGCCACGAAGGCGGAAAAGAATGTTGTGAAAATGAGTGTGGTCCGCATGATGGCAAATACTTAAAAACAAATGGCGAGCATAACGATTCAACAAGTCCGACGAAGTACAGTGAAGAAGGGCGAAGGAAAAGAATGCTTTGTAGAAGCTCCAAAGCTCCAAAGCGTGGTTCCCTAACTACTTGCAATTAGAAGACGGCTCGGCCCCGTTGCAGCGTCCCTCATTTCAGCCGCACAATCGGTGCGCCCGAGAAGCAAACAGGGACTTCGTATACTCGGGACTCGCGAGGAGAAGTTTTGACAACAGACTATTGATCGATCTTTGGGGAGTGGGGAGTGGAGACAGCGGCAGGGAATGATGGTCCGAACTTGGTAAAGGCGCCTTGCGTGGGCCCTGGGCTGCTAGTAGCGATAGCGCTCCAGGCCCTCCGGAACCCCTGAAGTTAGTCTACTTCAGGAACACTCCACAGTGTGCTCCACACCTCGCTTGCTGGAAAAAATGTTTGGTTTGGTTTGGGACTTTGCAGTCTTACCCGTTCCTTCCTTCCACTAGTTATCATACTAGCGAATGGGCCAGCTAGCTAGAAGTACCTCTAATATAAATTTACTATGTAAAATACTTGGCCCACTCGCTAGTATGGCCCAATCTTTTTCACGAACCACCAGTGGTAACTGGTGAAAGGAACGAACGGGTAAGGTATAAGAAATAGTTGTTGTTTCCCTGTTAGCAGCTTACCAAGCACCGGCAATTGCAAGTTCCAATAGCGGTCCCTCTCGAAGAGGTTGAAGAATTAGTAGAGGTGTTTTGGCGGGGTTCAGTCCGGGGAGGAGTTGATCTGATCCGGACTAATGGTGCTCTAGCTATGTGTCGTGTAACATGGGGTCTCCTGTGCAAAATGTGCACCTGAAAGCACAGCTGCCTGAGAATAGAGCGTATAACTGAGTGGAGGGAGTTATCTTATAGACCTTTCCGTATTGCCCTATGGAGCACTGAAACGTAGAGGTGTTAGTCAGAAAGAAGATCCTGTACTATGTTCTCGAAGGTAAACAAAAAAGAAGAAAACATTAGATTGGGGTGTTATTACCTGATTTCGTGTTTCGTAAATGTATCCTATTCCAATTTTACATCAACCAGATACCTTACACCTGCGTAAGTAAGGTTTTGGGTGGTCCCCAACCCTGTTTGTACCAAGCCTCTATTTCGCAACCGAAACGTCTTGGCCGTACTGGGCTGGTAGCCATCCTGTGTGCATGGCGCTGGATCCCATGGTCTGCCCACCTTTTTGACTCTTACAGTAACTCTTCCCAGTGCATGTATCTCCAGAACGACTCGATCAGAGGCTTTGCGCCATTCACTCAAACTGGAGGGATGACTGTCCAAACCCATGATAAAAGTTTGGATAACATCCTCCAGGGTCTTCCCGGCGCTCGGGATTTCAACAATTGTGGCTACAATTCCGTCTCGAGATCCGCCATCGAGAAAATTTAATATCACATCAAGGCAAATTCCACTACTCCAGCCAACTCTAAATTAAAGGATTTGCAACGCTCTCGTTGGAATCAGATTCGATCCCAATGAAAAGCTTCTTGATAAGAACGGAGGTTTGAGTGGGTAGCCTTCAATCGAGCTGATTTTTGGGGGAGCGTTCGAAAATCTGTCGCTCGAATATATAAATCCTGGTTGAACCGACGTTTCTCTTCGCCATCCCATCGATATCGAGCCATTTTCTTTGCCAAAAACGATGTCATCTCAGCCACTGCAATTTGGTCTGCCTTTATATAATAGAAATCTTCTGTTTTGACTCTCTGGAAGGATTTTTGTTTATCTGCTGTGGGACACAGACAAAGCGCCACCTGACTTCCCGGCAAAGTATGCTCATCAGGTTTGATGCAACCTATCAAAGCCAAACAAGTACCTGACGAATACTTCGCAATCAGTCTACCGGAAGGGTTGAAAGTCTTCCAGCTTTTTAGAGGGAGCATTGGCAGTCGTAGCTCTAAAATTTTTCCAACAAAAGCGAAGCCTATTCCAGACTCCCCCCTACCTCGAAGCCCGAGCTGGCAACATTGCTTAACTTGGCAAATAAGTGTGGGCCATTTGCAAGAAGTCCTCCATCGTGGCTCCCATACAGGCTCGGTTTACTCCGCCACGCCAAGATTGTCTGGTCGTGAGAGATCCTGATAATCTCTTCTTGAAGCCTGATAAAAGCCTTCATGCCTTCGCCATACAACATTGGCATGTTGATGTCAAAAATTCCCATCAAACAGTACGCAATATCCTCTTCTCTTGTCGTTGTTCGATCTGAGGCCCACGACATTTCCTGAGCAGCGTTCCAACAATCTAAATCGCCTCCCATTAAAGCTACAAGATGAATTTTCGTGACCTCGGAGACCAGACCTTGCAAGCTTAATTTGCTTCCAATCTCTTGCCAATCACACCGAGAAAAGTCACGTGCACGGAGACAATTAGTTCTTGCAGCGTCCAGCCCCTCGCGACTTGTCCTAAAAGCAGACCACTCCTTTTGCGGATTCTCATGGGATGGGATATCTGCTAAATAAGCATAACAAACTGCAGCCCTCTGATACCACCGAAACATCGAATTGATAGCCTCCGAGAGTTCTGCGCTACTCGTTTTGTTGATACAGCAGGTGTCAACCCAAGCAAACGCAAAGCCATCCCCGGCCGTTATCCTGCAACACTGTTTGGTCTTGTCGAAGCCTTTATACTCTGCGACATTGAGATTGCCACTTTGGAGGTCCTGGAAAGAGACTTCTTCACCCCGGGTGTGAGAAAGGATGGCGTAGGGCGGGATTTTGCTTCCGATGAACTCGTGGAGCTTGAGAGTGGAGGAGACGCATAGTGGATTTTGACTAGTGAAGGACTTTGATCGCAAGGCTTTGGGTGAATTTTATAGACTACGCTCCTAGTGGCCAGTCCGGATAGGAGGTGGCTCTAAAATGGCGAAGTGTTTGGACGAGGCTGGGTGAATATGCGAGGTTCTGTGTCCACCTGGTACGCTGGAGGGGCATAGAGTAGACACTAAGTCCTCGAGGGCAGCTTGAAGTATTATTGAGGGCAATGCAGGAACCTGTGAATGCGCAGTTGTGAGGCCGAAGGTTGAGAAAGGTCAGAGGCGACGTCTGAGGTTATGTGCAGCCACAATTTGAAGTCGCTTGAGCAGCGAATTAGAAGGACCTTCATTTCACGAGCACACGACTGATACAGGGGGAGCTTAATGCGAGCCCCACCAGTTTGCCATTAATCTTAATTTCCTGCCTCTACTGAGGCCCACAGCTAGCTAGCGGACAAATCCGAGAAGCGAAAAGTGATTTTCTGATTTTCTGATTTTCGCACTGGCGCCCTCCTCCCCAAGGCAGAATTCCTAATTAGGGGTATAGCACCCATACGTGACTTTCGGCTTAGATAATACAATAATAGTAAGGCTGCTTGCTTGTCTAATTAATGAAGTGAGAGCCTATACTACTATATGAAATCGTACCAAAATTAGGCCGGATAGTATAATATAAAATTAAGTATTTATTATAAATTACTATGGTTAGGTAATTACAGGCTATAAGCCCTTCTAGGATAATGCTATTAATAGGGTCTAATGACTTTTTTCATATTCCTGAGGTTATAAATAAGAAAATTAAACTATTAAAATAACTAAAAAGCCGGCTAATTACTTTTTTTTAGTAATTAATTAATAAAATCATATGGGGATAATATTACTCGAGTTTTTTAGTACTTATATTACTAAAAAGTATATTATAATAATAAAGTATATCCTGAACTTAATTCCTATTAAATAACTTAGTAGATTTTATTAAAATAATACTATAACTTTTAATAAATCTATTATTATATTATAAAGCTATTACTAAATAAGCTTATATAAATATTAATTAAAAAGAAATTATAAATAAATTAAAAGATTTATATAGAATCTTAGTTAATTCATATATAGTCTAATAGTAACTATAAGAATAAAATATTTAAATATATCTTTTCTTTATATATAGATTATAATCTTATATTATCTAGGAAATATAAATAAGGAAATACTTAAGAATCTTGAGAATTATGGCTATATAGTTTTAATTACTAGAATTATTTATATATATAAAAAGCTTAGTCTTATTTATTATATAATTATAATAAATAAATAAGTAGTAAATAAGTAACTATTTATAATATTATAAAGTAAGCTAAATAATAGGCGAGTTATAGGTTATAAATAGTAGTATTTATATATATATTTCCGTTAATAAGGTTTATTAGTAATCTAGTTAGTTTTTCTATATTTTACTATTTTGCCCTAGATTAGAAAGTTAGGGCCTTATTTACTAATATATTTCATTATTTATAAAGAAAGCTTATATATAATATTATAACTTCTAGATCCCAAGGTAATTATACTATAAATATAATAGATATAATTTAAGAAAGAAAAATATATTATATCTAAACCGAACTAGATTTAGTTAATTAATAAATATAATAAGCTATTATTATTTGAAATTAAGATATATACTTATATTAATACTCATTTATATAATATTATCTAAATATATATTAGAATTTCTAATTAGATTACCTATTTAGTTATATAATAATATCTTTAGATTTATATTTAAATAGGCTACCGCTTTTACTTTTTTAGGACTTATTAAGGCTCTAAACTTTCTTTTATTACTAAAATATATTTTATATTCTCGTAAATAGCTAATTTATTAATTATATATATAAAGAATTACTTTATTTTTAGGAAAAATACCGAGAATTAATAAGTTAAATTCTGGTAATAAGAGCTTTAGAAAAGCTAGCTATACTAGTAATATATAAGTAATTTTATTTCTTTATATTTGCCTCTTATTCTTTTTATTATTAGAAAAAAAAATAGATATTAATAATTATATTACTTTTTATTAAGGCTATTAGGTCTAGTATTATAATACTAGATTATATAACTAATTCTAATTAGTATATATAGAACTACTTTTAGGAACTAGCCTATACTAGAAATTATAATTACTAATACTTATAGAACCGGATTACTTTACTAATACTTTATATATAATAGATCTAAAATAAGATATATAGGTTTATAAACTTATAAAATATTTATAAAATTAGAAAAAATAGATCTGGCCTAATATAATAGCCGGCAAGCTATTTAGACTATATATAAGACCTCTAGGCAAGATATAATACTAGGGTTATCCTATAAATATAAAGCTTTATAATATAATTTTTAATAATTATTTAGTTTAGGATAAATAATATAACCTCATATAGCTTTATATAAATAATTTACTTATATATTAATATAGATATTAATAAGTTTTTATTAAGAGAAATACTAAAGTAATATTATTAGAAGCTTATATCTTATAATATAAATATAGCTAATATTTATATAGGAAATACTAATAGAAATAATAACTAATTATATATTTAAGCTTATTATTAGCTCTAATATATAGTCCGGATATATATAGCTTTAGGGCAGCTACTAATATTAGGAGAATTCAAGAAGCTAATTAGTAAATATAATATTATTATTATATAAAATAAAATTCTTAAATAAGTTATTCTAATAAATATAAAATATATAAATAATATATAGGCCGGAAAAATACTTATATAATTCCTAATAATTCAGGACTTTATTTAGGAATAGCTCTTTATTAGTAATACTTTTAATAATATAGGATAATTAAATAAGCTAATTATAAAATAACTAGATATATTAAGATAAGTATTATTTATTATTAAATATATTATTTTCGAAATTCCCTTTTTGCTTTTAAAAATAATACTAATAAAATTATTAAATTTATTTATTATATAAATATTTTATATTCTTAAATTCTTATTTCTTAAAATAATATTACTATTTCTTAAAACCTACCCTAATACTATATGCCTTATAACTAAATACTAATATAATAATATCTAATATTATAAGTTTTATTAATTTACTAATAATAAATATAATATAGAGGCTATTACTTTACTTATCTAAAATAGTAATATTAATAAACTTGAATTTTATAGCTCTAGAATTCTGTTTATATCTGCTTTTCTTTTTATATCTGAGATATTTCAGATTCCTAGCTTTTTTTAATATTTTTATCTTATATATTTTTTTTAGAAATATTTATTATATCTATTTCTCTAATTATTATTACTATATAGCTACTAGGTACTAGTTCTACTTTACCCCAGGCTTCTTTTATTCTAATAGCCCTATAATTACTTTCTTTTATATTTTCTTTTACTATAAATCATATTACTTAACCTAATTACTTTTCTAGTAATATTTATACTATTATATAAGCTTAATAAGCTATAAATACAAGAGTTATTTAGACTATTACTCAGGCTATAGTTTTTTATACTAATAATAGGCTATCTAAAGCCCTTTAAGGTTTTATGAATTAAAATATAGCCGGATCTAGTTTTATAAAATTATAGATTATAATTTTATAACTAGTTTTTTATAAATAAGTATTTAATAATATAAAGAATTAGAAAGCTAAATAAAGAACTATCTAACTTTCTAAAGAAATTAATAATAAGTTTTCTTTTATTTCTTTTACTAGATTCTTTATATAAATTCTAATAAATATTTTTTAATTTAAAATAAATAATTAAGTTTTTTTTATTCTTTCTAATATAGTTTTTTAATAGCTACTTTTTTACTTCTTTTTTTATATTAGTAAACTTATCTATTATTATTAATTTATTAATAATATAAATAAACTAGTATTTTATACTAGTCCTAATAATAAAAGAGTTTAGGAACTTATAATCTTACTAGGTTCTATTTAAATTTTTTTAAATTTTTATTATTATAATATATATTTGGGCCCTAAAAATATCTAGATAATTTTCCTTATTTTATATTAGAATAAGATTCTATATAAAGATATTTGTCTTAAAATTACTTATAAAAAGCTAGAAAATATTTAGAAAATATAATAACTTAAGGAAATTAAAGAATAAATTAAGAAGGCCTAAAAAGCCTAGAAAAATATTATTTACTAGTATAAATATAAGACTTTAAAAATAAGAAAAGATCTAATAAACTAGTAATATACGTAAAAATTATAAAATAGGAAGTTATATTAAGTAATAAAAGAATTAATTAAACTAGCTAGAAAATGTTATAATTCCCAGATATCCGGTATCTGAGATATCTCGCCAGATACTAGATGCTTCCTAAACATACGTAATACGGCCGCCTTACTAGGAAAGCATGCTTAGAATATACTAGAGATATTTAGAAGGCTAAGCCCCTTTAGGACTAGCGTACTATAGGATATATATACTCCCTCGCAGCTTCCTATATTCTAGTTTTCTCTTTCTTAGCTTTAAATCGTCTTTATAAAGAATCTTCTATCTTACTTTCTAAGCCCTAAATACTATACCTATAATAGTATTTAAAGCTTACTTCCTTTAATTCTATAAAGGATTTTAAATAAACTAATTCAGAACTATTAGAAATATAGGCGCCGCCAAGATAACGGAACCTCAGAAATACAAGTAATAGACTCCAGAATAATAAAAGCAAAAAGCTTTAGAATCCTTAGAGAAATCAGGTATTTATATCTTTATAAATATATACTAGTAATATATTAGAAACTTTTTCGAAAACCCGAAAGTCAATAAACCTTAAATAAAAGACTACTTTTTAATTAAGTCCTAAAGTAATAGGTATATATAGGCTAGTAATCTAACTACTACCCTCAAGCCCTATCCTATAACCTTATAGGCCCTATATATATGCCGGTAATAAGACTACTAGAGAGAATATAATAAAGGAAAAATATAATAGGTTAATTT